AGGCTGATGTAGTTGGAACCAAGGGAGGCCAAGCACCACAGAGGAGGACTTGCTGTTGATGATGTTGAAGGCGATATCGGTGACGGTGGACCCAATGTGTACTCGAACGGGCAACGTTTCCCTAAGTCCAAAAGATGGAGACACAAAATGCCCATCGATGCCTTCAACCCTCAGATCCCGTATGGTAGGAGAAAGAGGAACGTGATGTTGGGCAACAAAGTCCATGTCCATGAAGCAGGAAGTTGCACCTGAGTCCAGTAGTGCCAGAGCCTTGAGTCCTAATTGTCCGGTGAAAGAAAGGAGACATGGGACACGGAAGTTGCAAGAATTGGTGGTGGCTTTGATGAAAGGTGGTGAGGAGCTTGATGAAGAAGAGAAGTGATTTTTATTCAGGGAGTCCAAACAGACAGCTCCTACTCTGTTTGGACAGGGTCGTTTCCCGACTGCAATAGAGGTGGACTTTGAGGCAGAGAGAACTCGAGCAGTCGGGGAGGCTTCTTGGGACACACAGCTGCTTTGTGATTAGGATCAGCACAGTAGAGGCAAAGATTATGAGATATTCGACGTTGCTTCTCAGCAGGACTCAACTTCCTTCTAATGAGTCAGGGAGTACCAGAAATATCCATTGAGACCGGAGCAGTAGGTTCAGGAGTATGCCCTGAAGACTCAAGCTGGGATTCTTGAGTCTGGGACGGGAAAACGGTGGCGCGGCGACTTTCCTGACGACGTTCAAAGAGACAATTGTCACATCGAACAGCTTTGTTGATGGCGTCCGACAAGTCTGTGGGATCCTCTATGGTGAGCAACAAATCCTTGACACCGTTGTTGAGGCCGAAATGAAATTGATTAATCAGAGCCCGCTCATCTTACTGAGTGTCCAAGGCAAGGAGTTGGAACTTTGCAGCATAGATGGAAGTAGGACGAGACCTTTAAGAGAGACGTCTCATCTTTGTTGTGGCAGCCCGAACCCGATCCGTCTCGCCAAAACATGCTTTGAGCTTCTCTTTGAACAATTGAAGATCCATCAGCTCCGGAACCATGACCCCTTTCATGCTCTTCTCTAGGAGAGGAGAAAACCATGACAAAGCTGCATCTTCAAGCAACATCCCAATCGCACCGATTTGAGACTCGGGAGTGGGGTACCGCCGATGTTGAATTGCGAAGATCAGCTCCATCTGGTTCAGGAATCTGTGAAGCTCTGAACGCTTCCCTGAAAATTTCGCCGGGAAACTCACCTTCGGTTCAGGAACTTTGCTGGATCCTTGAGCCGAAAGTGAAGCAAGCTCCTACTGCATGCGAAGAAGGGTCGCCTTCAGCTTGGTATTCTCAGACTGGATTTTTGCAAGGACTTCGGCAAAGAAATCAAGATGGCTTGGAGACTCTATTGGAAAAGAAGAAAGAAAAAATGAGGAAAAAAGACAAGGCAGTCAAACAATTAAAACTAGCTAAAGCAAAAAATGAAAAAACACAATCTGAACCAAACTGTCAAGACCCCCAACAAGATCAAGATTGGAAAATACAAAAGACAAAGAGAAAAGCTAGTGAATAACGAAGAAGAGGCCTTAGACTGGTGTTGATTCAGATTGTGGAGAAATGGAACAAAGCTAACCTATATATACTATAGGTTGATGAAGCTCCACCACTCTTGGATCGAGGACGGCCCAAATATAGTTGAGGTTGAGGAAGCACCACATCATCATCAGGAATGTGGCTCGAGACTCAGGAATCGTACAGGAAATTGAGAGTCAGGAATAGGGAAGTGTCTCAAGAGTCAGGAATGTGGTCTGCAGGTCAGGAACCCAGCGAGAGTCAGGAATGTGGCAAGAATTGGGGGATTCCTGACAATTATCACATCTTTTTTTATAATAATAAAGGTACCAAGAGTCAAACTTCTATATACTTTGAGCAAAATACTGTCAAGTATTTCACTCGGTAATTCATCAAACTATTTAAGTAATTTTGTTAAATTATCATTTGTTAGCATAGTTAAGTATACAAGATAATTTAGTTTTTGCTTTTTTATACTTTTGTTTAGTCACACAGAGTGGAGATCAACCAACTTCCATCTAATTCTATAAAAAAAATGTATATTTTGATAGGTGTGGTGAATCGCTGATAAACATTCTTATTTTGTCTACCCTAATTCCCCCATTCAACTTTTAGGATATTAGAGGGTAATCAATCCTTAATCTCTCCACCTATGTATGTAAAAAGTCCTCCCTTTTTTACCCGTGCTTAGTGTAGTTAAGATTAATTTAGTGCAAGGTCTCTAGCACATAATACCCAATTCTAGAGTAGTTTGCCTACTTTATAGTGGGTTTTACCCTCTGACTTATAACCAACCTTGCCCTTATAACTATAGAATTAAAAAAAGTAGTCTATTGTTCTTGGCAAATCTTGGGCAAACCTCTTTTAAATGGTTCAACACTAGGGACTAATTTGAATAGGGCATGGAGATCAATTCGTGAAATTTCATTATATAATCAATACAAGAGTTAAATTATCTAGTGCATGATAGTTGTTCTAGATCAATTTGCTTGTGGAATAACTTTAGATAGCTTTTCAAACATGTGATAACTAATTCGTGGAAAATTTTGCTTTAGATGTAGATTTTTTAAGGTAAATTTTTCTCTAGCTTGTTCGCCAACAGGCAATTATGGTCAATACAAATCTTTGTTCAAGCTCTTGTATGACAAATTTTGAGCTTTGCAATGTATTTCAAAATTTCTGGAAGTGTCTAAGATTATTTCACCTTTTTAGACAAAACCCTTTTTTAATATCTTTAAACTTATTTTAGCTCTTTAAATATCAAAGCGACAATTTGTTTTTTGTCTATACCTCATTTCAGGGGATATAGGGTATATTTCACGTGATTGCCCTTGATTTCTCCTTATGGGGCTAGATGTTATGTGAGTGCTCTTAGAATCTATAGGAGAGTGATAACTTTCACAATAAACAGTGTTTGCAAGCTCTCTCTATATAATAGATAAACTTGAATTAATTTGTTTAAGTGTACTAGACATAAAATGGTTTGAACGGTTATAATGGTTCATGATAACTATTTTCAAGTTTTCAATTTTGTGAGTCTTGTTTGAGTCTTATAAGCTTTTGTAATATGCATAGAAGACTTAAACTCAGGATAAATCTATCTCAAACTGTATCTGAGTAGTAGTTGATGTTAAAGGACTTTAGATCAAAGTCTTGAGACAACACAATGTTTTAATTATGATTTTGCTTCTATGAAAGCCTCGTAAGATTTGGGTGAATAGTTCCCTAATTTGTTCTTCACTAAGATTGGCTTTAACTCTCTTTAAACTGGAGTAAAAAACAAAAGTTATAAGTGCCCAATTTTCCTATTTATGTATGCCTAGAAAAATTGTGACATGCTACTAAAAAATGTGTCTTTTAAAAACCCAAGAGAATTTTCTCAGAAGGAAAGAATTTTAGAGTAGTTGATTGTGTCTTCCATATCAAACAAACTCCATTTTTTTTGTTTTGGATTTTTCTCAAGAAATTGTTAATAAAACAATTTAAACTTGAGTTTTTTAGTAATGTATGTTGTACTTCAATTTCAAATTCATCCTATGCTCTATAGCTTTAGTGATAGTTGAGAAACTATATTTCTTATATTGTCTAGACACTAAGCCACTGCAATCACTAGAAAACATTTTTTGTTCATTATTATCTATGCTTAAGGCCTTTAGAATCATTGAAGTGATTTACTTGTGAATCCTAATGCTTGACATATTTGGAATTCACAAGTAATTTTCTTTCAGTTGTTTTTCAAGCTAAAGAGTGATGGCTTATCCTACCATGGTTGTCAAAAGTAAGTAAGACTTTTTCTACCTGTACTCATGTTCTCACCCATGCCTACAAAATAGTGACAAAAAACATAAATGAGAATGTAAAAGAAAAAAAGAGAAGATAGAAATTAATAACTCAACCTCAAACCCCAAAGGCGTGAGTAAGAATAAATATATGTCATTTTTTAACTTTACTTTGCACAAACAATTATAAGTGGGAAAAAAAATGGTTAGTTCAATACAAATGCATACAATAGTGAGCGAGAGTTGTTTTTTAGCACATCTAAGTGTTAATTACATGATTCTATAACTGTTTTTAACTATTTCATTCTTGTCTATGACGAGCATTGCCTAAGTCGAGTTTTTTTTTTTGGATGCTTAAGTTTAGGCATAATTCCATTTCATCTAAGTTTCCTTCTTCTGCTCTGCTTGGGAAGATATACAAAATAAAACATTTACCTCTTCATCAAACATTGTCAAAATCTAAATTGATAATTCTAAGAAGAATATCATGCTATCTTCCATGGTATTTCCAAAATATACAAGTCACTTTGCTTGAGAGGTTAAGCAAAGATTATTAAACTGCTAAAACACTGTTTGGTGAACTTGACATAATAAAAGTGCACCTAGATCTAATCACATATCAAGCCCATCAAATAAATCAGACATAATAATTACTTCTCTAAACCATTAAAAGATGACTGCGTTTGGGTGTCCAAAGCAATACTCACTCTTCATTTCTTCCCTCCACTCAATCCACGCAAGAACCACTATCTCCAGCCCCCATCTCACTCTGAACCATCTCCATCTTTTGGCTGTGTGGTAGGCTGCCTCAAATAAGCAGAGTAAGTGATTGTCTCCAGAACAGTGAGCTTCCCAGCAAAACATACTCTTGATTTACATAAGCATCTGATAGAAAGCTTGAGAATCACTAAATCAAATGTTTATACACACTGCAGTCCCATGCCTCATGTTTGTCTGGAGATTCCCATTGGATCCTTCTCGCCTCACAATCTACCTGTGATGAACGACAATGCAAGAATCTTAGTCTCAAACACATGGTCAATCTTTAGAAAACTCTATCAACATGCGCGTCAAGCAAGGTTTGACTTTCCCGATTCTGGACCCATGATCTCAAGATTTAAAAGTCGACAAAACTAGCAGGAGGCCATTTCTTTTCAAACTTTCTATCCCATCCAGTCTTGCGTGGCTATGGCTTCTCAAGGTACGTCGTCTCCAAAGATCCATGTCCTCGCATTTCCCGTCCCAGGCCAGGGACACATCACTCCGATGATGCATCTCTGCAAGAAGATCGCCGCTCGAGATGGATTCATCGTCTCATTCGTCAATGTCGACAGCCTCCACGACGAGATGATCAAGCACTGGAGAGCTCCATCCAATACGGACCTCCGCCTCGTCTCAATCCCACTCTCCTGGAAGATCCCACACGGCCTGGATGCTTACACTCTCACTCACTCGGGTGAGTTCTTCAAGGCCACCACCGAGATGATCCCAGCTCTCGAGCACCTCGTCTCCAAACTCTCTCTCGAGATCTCGCCGGTCCGCTGCATCATCTCGGACTACTTCTTCTTCTGGACCCAGGACGTTGCTGATAAGTTTGGGATTCCAAGGATTGTTCTGTGGCCTGGATCCGCTGCCTGGACCACGATTGAGTATCACATACCCGAGCTCATCGCCGGAGGCCATGTCTTTCCCAGCTTGACCGAAGGTATCTCCACTTTCAATGGCATTCATGTTCGCCTCAAAACTTTGCAGCGAAGAAGCTTGTCGCGGATGAATCTATAGTGGACATTATCAAGGGACTAGGACCTCTTCATCAAGCCGACGTACCTCTCTACTTGCAAGCTGACGATCATCTCTGGGCGGAGTACTCCGTGCAGCGGGTTCCCTACATCCGCAAGGCCTCCTGCGTGCTCGTCAACTCCTTTTACGATCTGGAACCGGAAGCTTCCGACTTCATGGCCGCCGAGCTCCGCAAAGGTATCTCTCCGTCGGTCCCATGTTTCTCCTGGACGAGCAGACCTCCGAGATCGGACCAACCAACGTGGTGCTCAGGAACGAGGACCCCGAGTGCCTGCGGTGGCTTGACAAGCAGGAAAAGGCTTCCGTTCTCTACATATCTTTCTACATATCTACATATCTACATATCTTCCGTTCTCTACATATCTACATATCTCTACATATCTAATATCTAAAAGGCTTCCGTTCTCTACATATCTACATATCTCTACATATCTAATATAGCGGTGTCAAACCTGGATGGACGCGCTTGAACTTCGCATACTTCCTCTCCAAGAAAGAGTTCAATTTCTTGCTGTGCAACATAGAATAGAATTCGTGGCGGACTATGGCCAGCGCTTTCTCCCCCTCTATGAATTCGACCGGACACGGGAATGGGCCAAAATCCCACTTCTCCAGGAGTACAAGGAATACCTGGGCACCGCCATGGCGATTGCAAAGCAGCTCAGGCCAGGAGGGGCTCTATATTCGTTTCGCAACCACCGTCTCTTCTCAATCCCACTCTACTGAAAGATCCTTGGGTGAGTTTTACAAGACCACCACCGGGATGATCTGGAAATGGCTCTACCTTTTGGTAGCTTCAATTTTAAAAAATGAAGGACCGAATTTTATAATAAAAAGCATATTACCAAAAAGTTGCGCCAGAAGCTTACTAAGTCCGCTGTGAACAGTCCCAAAGCTCTCCAGTATATGCCCCTCATAGTCAACAACATGAAAGCGTGCCTTGAGAGGTGGTCCGCTCAGGATACGATCGTTCTTCTTACCAAGATGAGAAGGGTAAACGATGTTTACTTCCTAGTTGACACGTTTTCTTCGATATGACAGTTCACGTTTCTAACTATCGACCACATTTTACATGCCAGCCCCGATGTGAATGATACTTTCCTCCTTGTACTACATTCTCAACCAAGGCATTCGTGCTCTCCACATCAACTTCCCCGGCACTGCCTACAACAAAGCCTTGAAGGTAAAAAGCCATAAGCGTTGTCCTACACAGCTTTGTGATGTTTTCCCATTCTCAGGCGCGGCGAAAGCTCATCAAGCTTATCCAGGGACATGATCAACCAGCGAAGAGCTTCGGGGACGCTGCAAGGAACAAACATTCTTTCATTGCTCATGGATCAGCTGGATGACAGGGGAGAGACGCTCAAATCATCGACGTATCCGCAACCGAATCAGTCAATGAAGTGCTACCAGTTGGGCCAGATTTAACAATGGGGGGATTTGCTGTCATGCAAAGGAAGATTACTTGGAAAGCTTGAAAGTTTCAAGAGAGCAACTACTTGGGGGTAAGCCTTTGTCAAATGACACCTGCCCTTGCTCTTATAGAATACGCACCACTTGAAATGTACGAGGAAGAGAATTTTGCCAAACGCTTTGCCTGAACACGTAGCTCCATCTCTGCATCCTGCAAATAGCAGGCAGTCCTCACGTCCACAACCACGCTCTCTGATAGACTCAAAACTTCCGTAGCCAATATCGTGTACAGCCGCCACTCCCGACGGCAAGCCATCCGAGCACGTAGTGGATTCCAGGGTGTATGTTAGGATTTTTGCTTGCTGGAGCTAGCTGGCTCCCTCAGATAGGCGCTGGAGATCATGGAAGATGGGTCGACGGGCCTCTTTGGGCCTTCCGGCAGAGATCCAGACAGTTCTCGAGCGGCTGACCGGAGAGGAGATTGAAAAAACAACGTTCTGGTGCTTACTGTCTGATATGCACAACAAAATAACAAAGGGACAATAAGAAGTTGCCCTCATCTTGCAAAATTTATGTGGAAGAACTCATTCCAGACCGGGCTCTTTGGAATCATGAATCTGAGTTCTCTGCCTTCTGGGACTAAAAAAAGTACAAGGCAAGACAAGTGGAACTCTCAAGCACATAAAGCCTAATGTTATTTATAGTTCATCTAGTTTCCATCCAATTATAAAAGTTTATATTTATTCACACTTTTTTTCTCATAAATAATCTAAAATTCCATGTGCATCTATCAAATATTAAAGACAAAATATATTCTATTGTAACAACTCTTAAAACAAAAGCTCAAAACCCTTCGAAGATCCCTCCCTTTTGCATGACAGGTATGTGGATGGGATCCTAAAGCACACAAAAGCAATTGTTAGAGTTTCACAATTAAGAGTGCTTTATTGCATGCTTGACCAAATACTACAATAGCAAGCATGGTGGCCATTTCCTCCCAATCACGGGCCTTTGTAACTTCCAAGCGGAAAAATAGCCTGCCAAAGTCTAGATATGCAAGGTCAAGTCCTAGAAGAGGTCTCATGTTTCTTGACGAGACTTTGTAAACAGTTGAATGAAGTTGCACCACTCTCAACAGCCAAAGTCCTAGAGCTAGCACAATCTGCAATAAATGGCCATCGAGGAGAGGCAAAAACTTCTTTGCCTCTCACCTTCATTGCCAAACATAGTAGGCAACCTTTCTTTTCAAACTATCACAGGGGTTAGTTTGTGAAAAAAAAATTTCACCTTTAAATGCTCTAACATATCCAAAATGACCCGTAGTTAGATTAATTGATTAAAACATATCCTAATACTTCATTTAAAGAAATTATTAGCATAACCCGATTTACCACAAACCCTAAAATACTATAACCCAAAATGCATCAATTCAAACAAAAGTTTGAGCGGGAAAAAGAAGACCTCCTGGGGCATGGGATTGCGTGGAGAGGGACGAGCTTTGGCATGGCGAGCCCAAATTTCTCCCTCATATCGATCTCTCCCATTTTCTCCCAATCGAATCCTTGCAGCAGCCTCGCCAGCACGCACTGCACCATCCGGAGTCCCATCCCCATCCCTGGGCAGATCCTCCGCCCGGATCCAAACCGGATGAGCTCGAAATTCTGGCCCCTCACATCCACGCCCTTCTTCGCGCCCTCATCGAATCGCTCCGGCCAGAAATCCAGCGCCCTCTCCCACGAATTGGCATCCCTGGAGATCACGTAGACATTGACGAGCAGCCGAGCGCCCTGTGCGATCCGGTAACCGGCGCTCGACACACAGGGCATGGTGGATTCGTAGAGGATCACTGGCGATGGCGGATGCAATCGCAGCGTCTCCTTGACGATGGCGTGCAGGAAATTCAGCCCCGGGAGATCGCTCTCCTCCACAACCCTGTCGCGCCCCACCACGGCGTCGATCTCGCGCTGCGCCCGGCGCATGGCGGCGGGGTGCCGGAGGAGCTCCGCCATTGCCCACTCGCAGGTGACCCACGCGGTGTCGCTCCCGGCCCCGATCACATCCTGCGTGCCACGAAGGGAGCGAGGAATGAGCGTGGCAAAGAGCTAAGAACCCTAAAATCCCCGAGAATTAGGGTTCTTGAGAAATACCTGGATGACGGCTTTAATGGTATCGTCGGTCAGCGCGTTCTTCTCCTGCGATGCGAGGAGAACGTCCAGGAGATCATCCACCCCGCCGGCGCCGGCGCCGCCACGCCCTTGATACTGCCGCTTCCTGTCGATCAGCGACTGAAAGAACGCATCCTGGAGCGCGTGGAGCTTCCGGGCGCGACGGCCATAGCCCTGGAGATCCATCCACCGCAAAGAGGGCAAGTAATCGCCCACATTGAGCGCGCCGATCATCTCCACCGCGTGCTCGATCGTCTCCTTGGCGCGCCGCTCGAACCGCGAGAGCTGCTTCTTCTTCCCGCCGAATTCCTGGCTAGTGGCCATGCGCAGGCTGCTGTAGAGCGTGATGTCGGACAGAACCGCGCGGAGGTCCACGACGCTGGACGCTCTCGCCGCCTCCTCCACCGTCGCAAGCGCCGAGGAGATCTCCTCCTTGCGCACGCGCTCGAAGGAATCCACTCTCTTGCCACTGAAGAGCTCGAGGCTACAAACCTTGCGGAGATGGCGCCAGTGATCGCCGTAAGGCGCCCACATGATATCCGCGAAGTTGTACGTGAGCTCGCGCGCCACTGCGTACCTGGGCCGCGATGCAAACACGAGATCGTGAGTGTGGAGGAATTCCCTCGCCGCCTCGGCACTCGAGGCCACGAAAGTTGGAACGCAGCCCAGGCGCAAGAACATGAGAGGGCCGTGGCGCTTGGTGTGGAGGGCGCCCCAGGAGCTGGTGCAGGTTTCCAATCACCGGCAGTGGACGCGGGCCGAGCGGCGTGTGATCTTGCTGGTGGCGATCATCACGGAAGAAGAGCTTTCCCAGAGTTTTCTTCCAGATCGCGACGAGGAGACTCCAGAGATGGATCGCCATTCGCGGCTTTCACCAAAACCTCCACAGCCTCAGTGGTAGCCACAGCCATGGCGCAAAATCTAGGAGGATGCTGAGCTACGTGCGAAGAAAATGCCTGTGTGGATAGATGGGAAGAGCTGCGGCCGAGAGATTTATAGCAGCGGCAACCACTTCTCCTCCTTCCCAGATACCCTAGACGATCAAAAGTAGCTCCTTCCTTGAACCCTAGGATCAGTAACTTTGACAAGTAAAGCCATCCTTTGTATAATGCAGACCTTTTTCATTATAAGGTTTTTTATAATGACAGATTAAAATACATTAATTTATGATGGCAGTTTTTGGGGTTGGCCACAACAAAACATTATAAAAACATTTATATGTATAGCAAATAATTTGTGATAGTAGTTTTAGGGGGAGGTATGCCTCCTAGGCAAAAATTGTTGCAAAATATATATAAAAAAGGACAAGTGTTTTTAAATTTTTGTAATATACATTTGTGAAATAATATTTTATACACAACTTTTATTTTATGCATGGGCATGCATTGGTGCATGATATGTATGCATGCAAAATCAACTTTAGATGTATGCAATTTTTTGTGTTGCATAAATTTCAACTCCACGTCAATAAAGTTTAGACTTTGGGTTTAATGTTTTTCAATGCATAAGCTAAATTTTGAGTGTTTTATAAATGTTATAGGCTAAATTTGCCATTGCTGTATATTTAAAACACTCTCTCTGGTGAGTGTAAAGGAAAACACTTTGTGAATCAGTGGTTTTGCAACAAATGAAATTTTGGTATGAGTCCTAAATATAGAATAAAGAATCTTGCTTCCTTGTTTGGAGTGGATTGGTATACCTTGCATTAATATCTCAAGATAACAGATTGGGGAGGGGTGTATCCCCTCAAGAGTGTTATTGTAGTTAAAACATTTTTGAAAGTCCCCCACTTCAAGAACTTGACAAGGTGGGGGATTATATATGTTAATAGCAAACTAAGGGATGTAGTATATAGAGTGAGCCAAGAAATGATAAGAGCTACATTAAGTTATGTTTGTCTGCAGATTATATTGTAAACTCCTAAGTTTGAACTTCCCAAGAGGTCATCCAATCTAGTACTATTCAAACCCAAGGACATTTAACCCCAAGTATTTTAAAACCCTTAATCAAATAGTAAAAAGGATGCACTTTTATTCATGAGCCCTTTCTCTTTATATTTGAACCCTATAAGTCATCTTTTAAATTGTTCTTTTTAGTTGCTTATTGTAAGTAACCAAAGAGAACAACTTGAGAGATATCCATGGGGTTCAAATATAGAGGGAAAGGGCCCATGAATAAGAGTGCACCCCCTTTTCCGATCGGTTAAGGATATTTAGGGTTAAGCGTCCTTGGGTTTGAATAGTACTGGGTGACTTTCTGGGAAGACTAAATTCAGGACCTTACATTAGGTCTTAGGTCCGACTCTGTTAGTTGCCTAAGGGAATCACACCACATGTTGATTGACATCTGGCTAGTCCCGAGGGGTAGGGTGTCAAGAGAGCGAGGCTCGAGAGAGAGATGCGGCTCTCAGCTTCTGTTCACGAGGGCGTGAACTTGCAAAGAAGTATGGTGGATTGTAAGCAACCAAAGAGAACGACTTGAGAAATGATCCATGGGGTTCAACATGTTGATTGACATCTGGCAGGTTCAGTTTGCTCCCGCTGGGCTCAACCCGAGGGGTAGGGTGTCAAGAGAGTGAGGCTCTCAGGAGAGATGCGGCTCTTAGCTTTCGTTTACAAGGGCGTGAACTTACAAGGAAGCATGGTGGATTATAAGCAATTAAAAAGAACGACTTGAGAGATGATCTATGGGGTTTAAATATAGAGGGAAGGGGCCCATGAATAAGAGTGCACCCCTTTTCCGATCGGTTAAAGGTCTTGGGATATTTGGGGTTAAGCGTCCTTGGGTTTGAATAGTACTGGGTTGGGTGACCTCCTAGGAAGTTTAAATTTAGGAGCTTACACTTATTTATATTAGAAGTATGTTTGTGTTAAGGAATACTATTGTAGGGTAGTTTTACAATTTAATAAGCCCAAATGCGTGTAGGGCAATTAGGCAGGGAGTTCAATGGAATAAAGATGGATATGATGAATGTGTAGGAAGGCTATAATATAGTATTTTTGAATGGTTCCTCAATTCACAATTAAGTGAAAACTATGTCTTTTTATATGATATCCATGCTACTCTCACAAGGAAGCATGGATATCACTTTACACATATCTTAACAAGATTATTTTAACCAAAAGATCAAAGGGTAAGGTGGTGACAAAGTTTTATTTTACAACTTCTAACATGTGTTTAATGTAGTATAATTCCACCTTTGACAAACGATAATATATTTATAGTAGAGGTGGCTTAGTATTTCAAAATGATGATTCTGACTATAGAGCATCATCACCTGATTAACATGAGGGATGATTGGTATGCTCATAGCTTGCTTGAGGTCCTTTATGCCAAATTTACACAACAGCTTCACAAACATATAAACACCTGAAATTTGTACATAGTACGCACTCTCAAAAATGAGGTATGGATATTGCCTTATATATGTTCTAGTAAGATTATTTCAACCAAAAGACCAGATGACAAGGTGGTGACAAGATTTTATTTTACAACTTCTAATATATGTTTAATGTAGTAAAGTTGCACCTCTAGCCTCAAAAGACATTGTCGCACTAAACAATAACAAAGTGTACCAAAATCTAGTTCTAGTCTCTATTATTAATGCACTTGATGGTTTTCTTTTTCCAAGAGTTAATAAGCCTCCACAATCACATATATGAAAGAAATGTGAAAAGCCTTGAGTTCAACCACAAAGTCATGCTACACCTTTCACTCACACTAAACGTTAAATGTGCATCCCATAACACCCTTTCCATGCATCTGTATTTAAAGCATACTATCATATTCCCGGGATTACTTGTATAATAAAGAGAAGCATGTAAGATGTTGCTTGAGGCATTAGATATGCCATAATATATTATATAAAAAATATAATATTAGCTTTTTGTATGTCATTATGTTTATCAAAATTGCTGTCACATAAATTTTACAACTTATAAAATGTTTTTGCAAAAATCCCCAAAAGTGTTTTCACCTAGACTCTACTAGAAAAATATTCACTCTATTCAATACTATGTTTTCCCCAAACCACTCTAACACTCATTGTATAAACCATTCAACACTCACCGAAGAAGGGTAATTATTTTATTACATATCTTAATTTATGCGTAAACTGCTCTATATTACAATAGTGGTCCTTAACTTCTAAACTTGAGGAGCAAGTTGCCACATTGGAAAGGTGTGGCTCCACATCTATTGGTTGCAATGATTGGCCATACTCATAATGAAAGATTTGGATAGTAACTTGCTACCTAATACCAAAGAATTCCATCTTTGTTACAAAGTGATAAAGCATATGCAACTTCATGGTTGTTATTAACATCACTACAGCCTCAAAGAATGCCCTCACTTCCATAGGGACCTCTCAGATGCAATCACACAACCACTTCTAATTGGTAAAATGTTTGTCTCTACCATCGAATGTCTCCAATAAATTTTTTAGAAATATATTTGACAAGTTTAATTAACATCCTATAGAGTTGAGAGAGATATATTAGTCATTATCTTCTCAAAGTCAGTACTTATGTGTTTTATAATGGATGTTACTCAATATTGAAAGCTTGTTTGTAGAGTGTTAGTCACCTAAAAAAAATGACTTGAGAAACAATTCATAAAGGTTCAAATATAAAGGGAAAATGCCTATAAATATTTTTTCAATTAGTTAAGGGTTTTGGGATATTTAAATAGTATTGGGTTGGGTAACCTAATGAGAATTTAAAAACTTACATCACCATTCATGTCTCAACAAAGAAAATGGGATGCATGATGATGATGGCATAAGAGTCTCTTGATATATAATATTAACCTCCACCACTCCCAAAATTTTTATGTATTTTTATAGA